GCTCGGAACGAACCGTAATGATATTTAATATTCCGGCAAGCTTCACTCGCCGCCGATACGGCCGTGGATTCCATTATACCGCGTAATCCAATCTAAATAGTGTTGTGAGCCTCGTTGAGGTGGAATTGACGCTTGTTCCGAGGCGATGGCCGTAATGGGAAAAGATCCTTTACGCCCTCAAGTCAATCAATGGACACATGTCTCCGGAAATATTGGTTTCCGTGAAACATTTGATTGCTAGGAATTGGTGTGACGTGGCAAAATACAGTTTGGTGATAAAGTAACGCACTAAATGAAATGTAATCAATTCTTTGTGCGTAAAAATATAAGACAAAGGCCACGAGCCCTAGAACTAAAAAATGGATTCATCTTAATGAGTACTTATCAGCAATAATATTTCTAAGTATGTATTTTATCAGTGGCGTAGCTAACTTCCACTGCGCCCCCCCGCAGTTTATAGTAAGCGCCCTCATACACCAAATTTACAAAGTAATATGTAATAATATGTACTTACTCGTTTGTACATTTTAAAAAATATATCGGTTATGTTACGGTCTGCGCCCCTTTTGGCACTCCGCCCCCCCGCATTGCGGGGTCTGCGGGGGTGCTATTTACGCCACTGTATTTTATTCAGAACCTATTGTTACATTGATCGGTGATTAAAAATCGGTGTAGGTCAAACTCTACAATTTATTTCTTAGTAACTCAAATTTACACGACTAATTTCACACCGATTATGGACAAAATAATTCCGGCGCAACTTGACTGGATTCTCAACATTCACTGGACTCGACTCGTTGGCTGAATAATCCTTGTTCCCGAAAGTGGTCTCTATTTAAAGCCATACTTTCTTCTAGAGGTTCCGTGATCGAGGTCTTTCTAGAATACCCATCGCCACTTCCGTTTCCAGGCTTTTCTTTAGCGAACGCCGCTCGGCCGCCGTCACCGACAATGATGCACATACTAGAAAACGCATAGGCGTCGTACTGGAGCGGCGTATGGGTTTATTTCGTAACAATATTGTCACCCAAAAACTTATACTCTTGCTTAATGAAATATAAATGATTCTGTTAGTAGCTCTTCGTACGGGCAATCATGAGTTGAGAACTTCCTACGATTGAACAATATTTCAATTTACTCCTAATAAATAATAAAAACTAATAAGCGCCCTATTGTCAAGATCCCTAATATATGGCATTGGTAATCCTAGGATATTATAACACTGTTTGCATACAGTTTCTACATGTATATTAAAAGTTACTTTACTATCAAAAGTAATTACCAGGTCCTTAAATCTATCACAGCGTCCCACAGTTTGTCCATTTAGATCATCATCTTCAAAAATCGTTTTGTTTTCTTGAAATTGACACAATGAAGCATTTGTCTTTATTTAGATAGTAAATAATTTACAGTACACACCGCTACTCTGGTGATAATTAACCAGCTGGTAAGATTTTAGGTTTTTGTTTAATTCCAATTGACTTAAATTTTATTGGATGTAGAGTGTACAGGGAAGATAAATATGTAAAATAGAGGATTCTAGGCTTGACACAAATGGAAAACTTCGTCATTTTTGTAAAATTACTATAAATTCCTGTGCTCTAGGCATCCAGCTTGTTACATGTTTGATGTTGTCTGCATTTAATTATACGTTACATGTACTGAATTTCATACCTTGAATTCAGAACAAAATCTCCATAATCGTGCAATTCTTGTGTGAAATAAAATTGACACGAGTACAACTAGTTAGCAACACCATTCAGCTAGAACGATATCTTGTCTTGATAAATCATAATTTAATAGGTTCCACTCATCTTCTTGTTAAAATGCTTTTGGGGAATTTTTTCTATCAAAAACCTTGCTTGTGTATTGTTATTTTGCATAAATTTTATCTGTGCAGCATTTTTGTTTTGCTTTCATGTTTTTATTTCCCAAATGTAGGTTTGTAGTTGTAAAAATTATAAAATAAAAATTGTAAAACAACATTTTACAATTTAACACAGAAACCATGAAACCGATTCTTCTCAAATCTTGCAGACGTTTTAAACTTATCGTGAACATTGTAAATCACTAGTCAAATATTTTTTGTAAATCCTTTTTAAAAACTTTGACAGAATCTTGAAGGTGACTAGTGTCCTTTTTAAAGAATGTTAAAAATTCTTGGGGTCTTTTGTCCTTTAATTTTGACAGAATTCGAAAGAATCTTAGGAGTCACTTGTATTTTGTTTTTGAATGAATTTGAGAAGACCTTGGAAATTCTTGGTATTTTATATTTGCAAGAGTCTCAAGGAACCTTGGGGACTCTTAGTTTCTTTTTTATATTAACTTACAAGAGGTGCCATGATATAAATAAAATTTGCATAATCAAATTTTATAATTTATATAAATAACACCTTTATATTTTATTATTACCTGTGTGAAGTAGCGAGTTTTCTGTTACACGAATTATCAAAACGTACTTTTTTTTATTTTGTTTGTTATATAATTTGCTGTTTTTTTTATTGTTTAAATATGTCATACATTTTTTTTCCGAAACCATTATTTCTGAGAAATTAATCAGTCATCTCTGGACAGAGTATGTACATAAACTTTTTACTCAAACAAAATGCCTCTTGAATTATTACAATATGTAAACACAGATAATTCTATTTCTTTTATTAGTTTTATTAGTGTCTAGTCACGTACCCTCCTAACGTAACTATTTTTAAAATTATCTATGTGTAAATAAATATAATTCCAATGTAAATACATAATGTACCAAGCTTCTGTACATATAATGAAAATATTATGTTATTTTTCCATACTTGATAAAGTTTTACAGTAAAAGTAATGTCTCTAATTTAAACTAATGTTAAACTGTTTGCATTAAACGTCCATATGTTATTTAGAAAGTATTTACATTATCAATATTATGGAATTTATTTCTTTGCACTGCAATTTGTTGCAATTTTTCCTTGAAACTCATAACGAAATATATTTCGATAATCTCCGTACAACTAAGCGTTTGATTGATAATGTCATTAAAACACTTATCCACCAATCTACAATTAAAGTGTTCTTGAAACTTTATGACGCAATCTTAATAAAATCATGTGTAATTGACATGAGATGGATATTAAATAGATAAGAAGAAAACAAACTTTTATGGTAAAACATGAAGATAAATTGGATAATTTAAAAGAAATATTCTGCGGACACGTGTTACTAGTATGTTATGTAACTGTGAGATATCATCAAATCGCAGTAAAACCACGAATTCTGTTGTAATTTCAAGAGATAAACCTACTTAATTGATGTATTACATTACTGTGTGCTTACGAAATGAATGACAGTTTTCTATTCTATGTTTATCGATTTTTATAACAAAAAGACAAAAGGTTTGGTTACTTAAAAGAAAAATCTTTCAACAAACTAGCATAGCTAAAGATATCTTTAACTATGATAGACATTAATAAAAGTGTCAATAAGTGACACATTTATCGAACGCAAAAAAATTTCGTTAATAAATTCTAATAATAAGTACATGTAGATATCCAAGGCGATGGTTTATTTCTGTTTAGTACACACTAAAAAATTATTTTACTGTATGTATTCGATCCGTTTTTTTTTCTTCACCTTGGTTGCCGAACCTTTTTGTTTCCACTATGAAATAGAAAAATAACAGATCTTTACTATCTTTGAGTTCCTCATGTATCGCTAGTACACTACTTTTAATGTTAATCTCCAAACAGGCTAAAAATAAAACATTAAACATTTCTGCAAACAGCAAGAAACCGACAGTCACTCCAAAGCTTTCATCTCCTACACCCACAATTTAACTCTGATTACATATCCTAAAGCAGTGTGGCACAGTGTAAATTTAACTCCCATTTGAGCTTTGCTGATAAATTTAATTAGGAATTATATTCAAATATGAAAGCTCGTCCATGCTTACTCAGAAGTAAAATCAATAAATGTAATTTTATTACTGACTTTTCTAACATCTCCGTTAGTTTTTGCACTTTTCTTCCTCCAAAAGTGTTTGTATCTTCAGGTTTTTATCGTGTTAGACACACGTCTACTCATCAGAATATTAAATGACAACCACTGCGTTTTCTGGTATTAAATTAGACGCGACTTTCTTGCTTGTTACCGGATAAACAGGGAAAACAATTTGAAAATCTAAACCAAAATAAAATATCGGAATTTAAATGAAGTTAGTCTCTACAGATTTCTTATTTGCTCCATATACCTTACTCGATATTTTTTTTATAAAATTTTATTTTTTTAGAAGATTTGGCTGTTTCTAAGATTTTTTCCGCTCCTACTATTGGTCCATATTTTTAAGTTGTACCTTCCATTATTCGTGCCTTTTTAATATTTGGTTCATTGAAATTTGTCATTACATACTATCTGAGGATATTTTACTTTTGTTTCAATGAAATAACGAAAATATCAGATTTTCTAGATTTCATTATTTTAATTAAGTCTAACAATATGGTATTAACTCGATATCATTGTAAAGATGCCAAAACTGAAAATGTGTAGCTAATGTTAGAATCAATTTAATAATTATGTTTTTCCGGTACTTACCTCGTACTAGTGACGCAGTTGCCTTTTATTTGAATACAATGTTATAGAGTCTTTTATTCCTTTACAGTATGTTCTATTTCACAAAAATTAACAGTTGTTCTGGATAAAGTTGATAGTTACATGTAATTTTTTTAGTTCCACAAATAAAACAGGGAGAATACCAAATTAAATCACCCAGCATAACTGCTGTTTCCACCTTATTATACGCCTGCTTAAAATCCATAAACAAACGTAGCCTTTATTTTATAAACATGTCATAACGTAACTGTTTGTAATTCATGTCACTATTCTGTTCTTTACACAAGTCGCTAATTAATATTTTTTTCCGGAAATCGTCATTGAAACAGCATTTCCTTGCGACATTAGGCGCAGGAAAATTGGATTTCCCTGACTAGTACTGTAAAAACTACAAAAATGACGCAAAATAATTAGTTATTTAAACAAGAAAAATTTATTCAAAATTTCGTAAATTACACTATTTACAGATATTAACATTAATTGTAGAATTCGATATATTTGCAATGTTAATTCCAGACAGAGATTTATGATCAAGTTTAACCTTTTTATCAAAAATTTCAGTCGAGATTTCGGTGCAACAGATTTCAGATGAATCACTACTTGTAGAGGGACACGTCTCGATATTAGTGAAGGGTCTTTTTTTCGGACCAGCTTGTATTTTATTAGCTATATCTAATTTATTTTCGATGGACTCTTCTATGTATCCTTCTGCTACTGAACTGCTTTGCCATCCTCCATGCCTTTTTAAGTTGGTAATATCTCCTCCTGCATCTACTAGTAAAGTCGCGGAACTGCGCCGCATACAATGTCCTGTGTATTCCAGAGGTGTTGGTAGACCAAGGTAGGTAGCAATTTGAGAAGGAAATTTACCAAATGAATGCAAGCCCACTGGTTGGACCGTACATTTCCCTTTCTTGTAATTTAAAAATAAGCGCTTGTGTGGAGTACTAGGCGGACGTAATTCCAAATAACGTCTGTATGTAGCAAGATTTCTTTCATCAACAACTACAAAGCGTCGAGGTTTTTTTGTTTTAGAATCAGGAATGTGTACTATTAGCACGTTATTTTGATCTTCAATGTCGTCAACTAACATCCTTGATAATTCGTCGCATCGACAGGCTCCAGACACCCCAAAAATAAGCGCCACCTGAAATTACCAAATTTAATAAAACTTAAATATGTAATCATTGTAATAACTTACTTTCATTAATAAAAATTCCTTGTCGGGAGCTTCAAGCAGAAATTTATCTATCTGGTCCCGAGACAAACATTTCGATTTTTTTGGTTGGTAACCAGCCGATTTTCGTTTTAGGTAAGCAGTTACCTTACAAAACTTGCTGATATCCAAATTTTCCTTCAACAAAAGCACGGCTTTCAACATAGAGTAAGTGCTCCAGAGGCTTGAAGCCTTATAAGAATTTGATTTTTCCGCAAAATAAGCCAGAAATACGTCTTCCGTTAGCGAAGTAACATTTTTAAGCCTGCGCCAATCTTCAAAGATTTGGAACTGCTTTTCATACCGCTCCTTAGATTTCGACGGTAACAATTCTTCTGTAGCAGCAGCGGCTGCTTTGCTTAGGTCAAAAGGAACATCCTCACCAGTGTTTTCGCTTGTATTCATAATTAATTAATGAAATAAACACACAGCTCTGACGTACGCACAAAATTTTATAATTGTTTTGTTTGTAACCATCGTTTTCAAGAAATTGACAAACTAGATTTTTGCGCAATTAATTAAAAAACTTGTTGGAAAATCTCGATTTTTAGCGATTTATTGCGATTTCCGGAAAAATTTAATACATACAAAACTCGTCAGTAAAATGTCTTATTTGACTCGGAGCTTTAAAATACTCGGCACAAAGTGCCTCGTATTTCAACATAGCTCCTCTTCAGTAATGAGACATTTTCCTGACTTTTATGTAAATATCTACTATACCATATTTAAAAATAAGATATTTTTGTAATTTTGATAGGTTGTTTATGATACATTTTTATAAAATGGAACTAAGTATAATCTCTCGTAGCTACTCTCTAGAGATTTCTTATCTGTTCCAGATATATGCTATTTTTACTTCCGGAGCCAAGCAATTACTGCTTTCAAGTGTTCTTGGCGTTTTATAACCCCTTCAGTGCGAAAAAGTAGATCTCCCGTTTCCGTCTGTCTGTCGTTTGTCTGTCTGTCTGTCTGTTTGGCTGGCTGTCGTCTGTCTGGCTGTCGTCTGTCTGTCATTTGCACGTATCGATTTTTATTAGACATATAATTACCGAAACTGCTGGACCAATTTTCCCTGAGAGAGCTAGACTACTGTGATAAGTCAAAATTTCAAGATTGGCACCTAATAGTTGACTGTCATAATAAATAGTCAATTGAAACAAAAATGTTTTGATCATTTTTTAGCTATATTTTCACTGATATATCACATTTTGAGATACGTGAGGCTTGGTTTCACAGTGCGAATTATTGTCAAATTTTATATATATGTATAGATTCTAACTTTTTGTACGCTGCTCTAGTTGTGCAATAAACTTATTCTTATTCTTATTCTTATTCTTAGATGGTAAAACGCTAACCAAAATTTAGCCAATCATCCTTACCTACAAAGCAGTGACGTTATGTTCAAAATTTACAATAGAAAATCATATTTAGGTTTTATATAATTAGATACTCCTGCACTTTTAGTTTACGAATCTGTGTTTTTACCTTAGACATCCAGATTTTTGGAAAAACAATCAAAATTATTGTTACGGGACCGGGACGTCGCGACCTCGCGGTTCCAGCGGGGAAGCGTCCGGTCGTTACCCGCGTCGGTACGCCGACTTTATTCCAGGGTGTCGGAGTGCCCTTGGGTGATGGGGTTCTGAAAAGAACCGGTGTGGGTGCTTTGTTTGCTACGGCAAAAAACTGAGCACGGGGCTTTTCGTGAATAAAAGCCTCGATGAAAGAAGAAGGTACGGTTTATTGGGGTTGTCTGGCCGTTTAGCCGCCGGGGCGAGCACTGACGACAACAGACTTCCTTGAAACCCACGACTCAACTGCCTATTGCTCTAATTTTACGTATTTTTATATGCGGCTGCTGTCGCAGCCGCGCTCCGATTAGCGGACCGCGGTGCCGCGAATCTCGGACCGCGGTGCCGCAGATCTCGGACATGCTTAAATATTATTTAAATAAAACAACTTATTCCTTAACCTAATTATCGCACTAATCAGGCCTCCAAATGTTCGCCCGGTAACACTCTCCCCTCTTCCGAAGGCCTGACTTTGGTGCGGTGGGACCGTCAAAGTGCGTCATCGGAGCGGAATGTTTTTTTTTTCCACCCCAGCTCCGTGACGTTTACTCCGGGTCCATCACCTCACCGGCTCGCTCGCTGGGTTTGGACGACATCCTGATGCCTGTTCTGGGACGGTGTCGCTAGTTGGGGTCGTTCTCTGACCCGGGGCGCTGGTCTATTTGGAAGGTAGGTGCGTGGTGGACCCTTCTGCTTGTGAGGACCATCTGTTATGCCCGCACATGTGCGGCACGTGTTAACGAGTCGCCGAACGTCGTCGTCCATCGACGGCCAGGCGTAGTGCCGCGCGATGACGCGGACGGTTTTTTCTGGCGCGGGATGTCCGGCGTCCACGGAGTCGTGGAAAGCGCGGAACACCGCTGGACGGGCGGTGTCCGGCACGTACAGGCGTCGTTGGTCACCTCGTCGCCATAGTATGCCGTCGTCGACTACGTAGTTCTTCGCAAATCCGACGTCGCCTCTCGCCTCAGGCCCCTCTCTGGTGATGCGTCGCAGTCGGCATATCATGTCCGCGACTTCCGGATCTGTGATCTGCGCCGACTTGACCACGTCCTGGAGCGAGATCGTTGCTGTGGTCACATAGTTACTGGGTCGGACCTGGTGTAGAGGTTCCGCAGGTGGGACAACCTGCTGGTCTGCCTCTGTTGTGGGTGTCGGCTCGGCGGGAACGCCGCACTGGACCTGGAGGAGAGGTTCCGCAGGTGGAACCGCCTGCTGATCTGCCTCTGTCGTGGGTGTCGGTTCGGCGGGAACACCGCACTGGACCTGGAGGCGAGGTTCCGCAGGTGAAACTGCCTGCTGATCTGCCTCAGCCTCGGACTCCGGTTGGAGCGTTGGACCGGCCTGGAGGTAAAGTTCTCTGGACGGCGTGGCCGGTTGATCTACTTCTGCCTCTGGCTCTGGCTGCTGATTCGCCACTCTCATGTGCTCTGGTAGGAGCATCGGAGCGGCGTAGATGTCGGGTGGAAATTGGGGAACGGGTCCCCCAGGTGGTGGGGGCCGTCTCGGTGGTGAAGCTCCCCTAGGTGGATGCCAGTTCTCTGCCGGCTCGGTTCCGTCGTCGGCGGAGATGTCGAGGACTCTCCGAGTCGTCCGACAAAATTCCTCGACGCTGTCGTACTTGCGGACAGCAAGAGCAGCGCGGATTGAAACTGGCATTTGCCTGATTAGTTGTTGAATCAGGCGTTGTTCTGGGCCGTCGGGAAACAGGCGGCGGTATAGCTGCAGCTGCCGGGTGACGTAGACGTCAATATCTTCTTGCCTGTTGTATAAACTTGACGTAAATACGGCCACCAGTTCGGAGAAGTTGTTCTCCGTGCCGAATTCGCTTCGCAAGCGCCTCCACAGGTCCGCGATGCAGGCGTCTTGGCGGGCGTAATGTTTGTTACGCCTGGCTGCGACTCCTCGCAGTTGACGGTGCGCCGCGAGCACCTGGTGGCGGTGACTCATCGGCCCGACCTCGAGGAAGTAGGCCTCCAAACTCTCTATGAAGAGCTCCGGGTCCTCCTCAGGTTCGCCCCCGAACGTCAGAAGGAAGTCCTCCGGTTGGAAGGTCGGCATCGGCAGGAACGAGGTGGTCATGGCCGCAGGGGCTGCAGCGGTGGTGGCGGCTGACATCTGTTGGTAGAAACGTTCCATTAGACCTTGGAAAATTAGCGAAAAATCGCCACTCAAGCCGGGCAAGTCGCAGATCTGGGGCGGTGCCGGTCCGACGAGGCTTTCAGCCCCGCAGGAAATCTTGGGTGCCGCTGGACCCTCAGAGCGGCTGCTGGACGGGAGTGGCTGCGTTGTCTCGAATGTGTGCGACGGCTCCACCACCTGGAGTGGCGGCACCAGGTGTCTGGTGGAAGTCGTCTTCAGAATTGCGGTCGCCTTGTGTTCGTCTTCACGGCGCTGACCTCCATGGAAGTTGGCCGGAAAGAAGTCTACAATGTGGACTTGGGGCGGCATCGTGCTGGCCAAGTCGTTTTTCTTTTTTCGGAGCCTGGTCTCCTTGTAGTCGAATGAGCCCCCCTGACAGCTTTGTCAGAAAAGAGCCCCACGTTGGGCGCCAATGTGTTAGGGGACGGGGCGTCGCGACGTCGCGGGTTGACGGGGACGACCTGCCCTCACCTGTCGAGACACCGGCCCGAACCAGGAAGCCGGGTATGCTCCGATTTGTAAGTTCTGAGAAGAACTGGTTGCGTGCTTTATTTGTGTGCTTGTGTAGGGATTTATTTGGGGTAATAAAACCCTCGGTTAGAGAATGCAGAGCGGTTTATTGTGACTCCGAAGCGTACACTTTCACCGCTAGCTGACAAGTGATGCTGAGCGTTTTTTTTTTTTTTTTTTTTTGGTGGAGGGGAAATGTCTACGCAGACCACCGTAATGGTTCTTGGCCTCTTCTGCGGCCTACGGTGGTACTGGGGGAATGGTTACCGCCCTAAAACCCCTCCTTCTTCTGCTCGGGTACCAGGACATTGTCCCTTACACCCATAACGCGCATCCCGGTAGACACAGCGGGGGCTGCGCTACCGAGCTCGGTTGAGCTATTGATTGCCTAGGAGTTGGCCCCCATCTTCGGCTCTTCCTCGCGGTCCTGCGGCCGGTGGAGAGATCTGAAACAGAAAAAATGCGCTATGCGCTGGCGTTAGATGTGCAACACCTTGGAGGCGATGCGGTCGGGAAGTTGGGAAGGCCGGGAAAGGCCGGTCGGTGGAGACGGCAGGTGGTGTTACTTGCCGATTCGGTCTTCAAGCAGCGCCCTACGGGGCCGCTTGCGACTGGGGGGGGCTTCCTCGTCGAACTCGTAGTCGACGGCTTCTCGCACCAGGGGGTTGGGGTGCTCTTCAGCTTTCCTGAAGGCTCGGAGGGCGACTTCGTGCAGGAACTCCTTCAGCGGCGGGAGGTTGGCCTCTCGGAGCAGTTGGGCGTTTCTGACGAACCATGGGGCTTTGAAAACCTGTCGGAGAATTTTCGTCTGGATGACTTCCAGACGGTGGAACTGGGTTTTGGAGGGTTCATAGCTCCAGGCCACTGAAGCATAGGACATGGTGGGGCGGATGATGGCGCGATACAGCAACAACTTGTTCCTGATCGACACCTTACTGCGCCTTCCGATCAGCGCAGACAACGAACCCTTTATCTTGTTCGTATTGGCCACGATGTAGTCAATATGAGGGATAACGGACAGCCGTTTGTCGACGATGACACCTAGGTATTTTGCTTGGCTCCGCCAAGGGATGACCCGGTTAAACATCGTGACGTTTCCTTCAGGCCCAATACGTCTTTTCGAGATAAGAAGCGCAGTGCTCTTTTCTGGATTGACTGTAATGAGCCATCGTTTGCACCACTCCTCCAGCGCATCCACGGCCTCCTGTAAGTAGGAGGTTACGAGGTGCGGCATTTTGGAGCGCGTAAGGATAGCCGTGTCGTCCGCGTAGATCGCAAGGCTAGTTCGGGGGAGTTTGGGTATGTCCGCGGTGAAAACCGCGTACAGGAGCGGGGAAAGCGCCGAGCCCTGGGGGACTCCTGCGCTAATTGGATGCTCCGCAGATAAAGCGTGCCCAATGCGTGCTTTAAACGTGCGGGAATCCAGGAAAGATTGGATGAGCTGCACCATCGCCAACGGCACGCCTGCTTGGTGAAGCTTGT